TCAATTGGCCTGGTGAGGCAAACTGTTAGACCCTTTGGGTACTTTTGGTACAAGAGTACTTGGACGACATTTTTGTTCAATAGCGGGTCGGAGGGAGGGCAAGACGGCCATGGAGGGGCATCTAGGGACACCTCGGTCGAGTGTTGGACGTGAATGCGAGCGAACAAGCTCTTACGCCCAACCCGACAAGTGCGTTTTCCGCGTCACCAGAGATCAAAGTCTCCGGTGCTTCGTAAAGCAACGTGGGCGGTCGGGCTGACCCAGACAAAGGTCAAGGCCATAGCAGCATTGCCGACGCCCCGATCCCAGAAGGATCTTCGAAAGTGGTTGGGTTTGGCCAACTACCTTCACAAGTACAGCGCTGGGTACGCGGGCTTCGCTAAGCCCTTGTCGAGCCTCCTTCAGAAGGACGTCGACTGGCGCTGGGAGCAAGAGCACCAGGATGCTTTTGACAGCATCAAGGCCAGTCTCCAAGAGGCCCCTGTCCTGGCTCTGCCGGACGAGACGAAGCCGTTTAGCGTCGTCTGCGATGCCTCCGATTACGCCATCGGGTGTGCATTGCTGCAGGACGACACGGCTGGACAGGAACGAGTCATCTCATTCCAGTCCAGGCAGCTCAAAGCCGCCGAGCGGAACTACCCTGTCCATGACAAGGAGCTCCTGGCGTGAAATATGCCCTTGTGAAGTTCCGTGTTCACCTTCTGGGCTCTACGCCCTTTGTGATCTACACAGACCACGCGTCCTTGAGGACGGCGACTAACTCGCCTCACCTCTCCCAACGGATGGCGAGGTGGCTGTCCTTCTTCGCGGAATATAACTTCCGCGTCGAGTACAAGCCGGGCAAGCTCAACGTGCTTGCGGACGCCCTCTCTAGGCGTCCCGACTATGAGTTGGCCCACATCACGCGGGTGACAACGGATCTATATGATCGGATACGCATGGCGTATCGGGACGATGAGGCTGTCGCGCCTATCGTCAAGTTCCTTAAGGCCGGAACGAGCGCGAAGTCCGACTGGCTCTCGTCGCGACAGCGCTCACGGCTCCACCGATATGAGTTGAAGGAGGGCCTCCTCTATTATCGGGTAGAGCCCACTGATCCTCCACGGGTGGTTGTACCCAACGACGAGGATCTGAAGTTCGACATCCTCGCGGAGGCGCATGACGCGCCCTCCAGCGGCCACTTGGGCCGCGAGAAGACCTTTCTGTCGGTCTCTCAGTCCTTCTGGTGGGACCCACATGTACAAGTGGGTCGCCCGGTACGTCAAGACATGTGAAACATGTCAGCGGGTTAAACCCGCAGGGCACTCTTCGGCTCCACTACAGAGCCTGCCCGTACCGGCTGACTGTTGGAAGTCGATGAGGCTTGACTTCATCTTTGGGCTTCCCGCTGACGGACACGGCAACACCGGAATTTTGGTGTTCGTGTGTCGGCTGAGCAAGATGATACATCTTGCTCCAGTTCCCGTCACTGTGACGGGCGAACAAACCGCAAGGTTGTTCGTCGATGGCGTGTTCCGCTATCACGGTCTCCCGGAGACGATTGTCTCGGACCGAGACCCGCGGTTCACTGTTGCGTTTTGGAAAACGCTGTTCCCTTTTGCAGCGGGGCTACCGTAGCTTTAGCGTCAGAGGAAGACGTTCGACTCAAAGAGTCACTAATACTAAGTTCCTTATCCAAAGGACACTTACAGCCCAAGACCAGGGCTCAACGTTAATACATTAACTTTATGCTTCAAAACCAAAAGTGTTTTATTTACTATTATTGCGGCCAAGCCGCCTAGGGGTAAATGTATCTGTTTAACTATCTAGCATAGTTAAACCTAATCAAATGCATAACGTGTGGCTTTCGGCCAACGTACTGAGAGACCTTGTTAACTCTCCAGCTTATGTACTGAGAATTTGTTAACTCTCCCGGTACTTTCGTACCCATGTGTGTTCCACACCATGCAAACCCCGTTACACTCTCCCTCACAAAGATGAGAACATTCCGTTCTCGAAACTCTCCTCAGCGAGGTCATGTCTTGTAAAGACAGCGGAGGTTACTACACCTCACACCAGCGTTGTACAGCTCTGTGAGCTCACAAACGCCTACGCATCGTTGATGCCCAACTCCTCGTCGTCGGCCCACGGCCCAATGCTCCAAACGCAGCGCGCATCTTGCTCTCAAGCGGTCTCAGACCTACGCTTGCGCTCCGCGCCTACTCAAGAGCTGCAAACCGCTTAGAGCAATGCTCTTGACTCATTCGAGTCATCGACAACAGCTCAGCGGTTGAACACTCGCTTCACAAGCGATAGGTCCGTGGTTCGAACCCACCAGGGCACAGCCCTCTCGTTCCATGAACGATTGTTCACGCTTGGACAAGCTTAAGAGCAACACCATTTTAGCTCAGCGGTCAGGCGTTAGCTTTGGACGCCAAAGGACGGTGGTTCAAACCTACGAGAGGCACAGCCCTCTCGTTCCATGAACTGCTGTCCTTGAACCGACAAGCTTAATGGCAACACCCTTTCAGCTCAGTGGTCGAGCGTTGGCTTTGTATGCCATAGGTCGGTGGTTCAAATCCACCCGGGTGCAGCCCTCTCATACCATGAGAAGTCCGTTCTCGGACTGACGTACGGGCATCGCCCTTATAGCTTAATGGTAGAGCTCCGCCTTGCAAGCCAAAGGCCAGTGGACCAACCCGTCCGGGACACA